GGGGGGGGGGAGGAAAGAAACAAAAAAAAAAGAGATAGCAAGTACAGAGGGATTTCTGTTCTTTTTTTTTCTTTTTTAACCGGCAACGTAAGAAACGTAAAAGAGCAGTAATTAATTTTCAAACGAATGAATTTCGATCGTATGGCTACGATCTTACAGAAAAAAAAAAACGAATCGTCGAGAAGTCGTAGCTCAAAGGTTGCGTAGCAGAACGTCAGAACTTTAACACCAGAAGCGTGCTGCAAGTTTGACGCTTTTACGAGCGCGGCGCAGAGAGAACGGTGTGTTGTAATTAAGACAATTTCCTGCCACGTCCCGAGCAATGACAATTTCAGAAACAGTTGCAACAACTTTCGCAACTTCGGACTGTCCATCTCGGGCGCGAGGACTTGCGTAGCACAAGTCTGAGAAACGAGACAGGTAGGTTTCTGTCAAATTACTCTCGACTTGTTGGACGTTATTTTCATCGGGGAACGTTATTATTTATCATCTGTATTATTATTTACGTGGAGCCTCGTTGTTTGGAATTCTGTGATGCGATTGTCGCAGCGAAAGGGAGTAAACTTATTATAACATTATATATATCAAAGGATCAATTAAAAACAAATTCTCCTGCAGTTCCTCGACGAAACACGAAGAAGAAGAATAGCGGTACTATAAACCAGAACTATATACAAATTAGCTGGTACAAGTTTCAGCTGTTTCCAAGTTAGCGTCGAATGCTTTTCCTCATCGTTGAAGTATCGTTTTATCGTATCATCCCCACAATGTGTATAAATCGATACATCACTAATTCGAGTAAATTCAGAATAAAGTTGAACAGTTGACAGATATCACACTCGTTTCCATACGTAAGAAACGGAAGCTATATATTTCACGACACGTTCACCCTTCGTAATGCCAGTGTAAATTTCAGTATTTATTTATTTGAAGTAGCGGTAGGGAGTGTTTCAAAGTGAAACCGGTATTGACAGGATTGATCGAAAAATCGATTATGTTACATTATTATACTAACTCAAATACCGATGAAATATCGAAACCACGGCCAGAGTATATCGATGTTTGATCACTGTTTCGCAACGAAATATCAGACGATATCGTTGCCACACACATATGTCACGAGCGAGCGTGTTAAAAAGTGTTAAAAAGTTATAATAGGTGGAGCATAGAGTGAAAGGTTGACTCTGTCGCTCGTTAACGGCGTAATGTCGTTGAAGAACTTGACGTCGTTAACTTCGTTCTTCGCGCAGGCAAGGGGCGGGGGAAGTGGAACGAGCGAAATTCGTTGGTAATTACGCGAGACAACTAAAACCGATTAAAAACGTCGCTGGAATGGACATCGGAAATTCGATTAATCCGCGCGAGACAGAAGAGACGCGGAGACTCGGCTTGTACTAATGCAATCGGGTGCTTGCACGCCCAATAAATTATTTATTTGAATTATATCCTCCGCTGGATAATATTTACACGCACGTGTATATGTTGCCGAAATCGAAATTCACACGTGGAAAATTAGTCGAAAGCAAAGGGCACGATATCTCCATGAACACCGTTTTCGAGAAAGTCGAGCTTTTCTCAACATTAAAGTATGAAGTGTTCAAATATTTATCATTCGTGGATTCAGAATTCTCGACTCTCGAGCGTGGCGGGAAATGATAATTGACAGGTGTGCAAGA